CCCACGTGTGAAAGAGATGTGCTCTTCCTCTGGAGAGTGTTACTGAATATGTTAAATCTGTAGTGAAATGCTTCTTCTAATCATGTAGTTAAAAAAATTAAAAAAGAAATGATTAAAATAATAATAATAATAATTAGTAGATGTGGAAAACATTACCATTGAAATCTACCTGATGACTTTATCTCCATGCTCAGATGCGAAGGAGCTCAGAAAGTAACCGACTGTCACTCGTAATAATCAGATATATAGAGGCCTATACTAATTTGGTTAGAGGGACATAAAGGACACTTTTTGCTCCTTGCCCTCCAGGGCAAGAAATGCATGTGTAAACATCTTAATGTCAATTGCATTGAAAATGAAGTATTCTGTATGAAACTGTGTATTTTAATAATGAAATGGGGATCTTTTTGAAAGGTTAAAACCTCATTTACTTTTATGTCTTATAGGGTTTATACTGAGTACGATATTGTGATCTCCATTTCATTATTAAAATACACAGTTTCATACAGAAAAATTCATTCCTAAAAATTTACAGCCAATTTTGAAAAAGATGCATCTTAGCTCAGAAAAAGAAAAAAATTTTTAAAAAAAGCTCTGATGAGCTCTAGCAGATATGGAAAAACCATGGGTAAAATCCATGGTGAGAGACATAAAATGAACACAGCATTAAAAAAAAATTTAAAAATAAAGAATGGATAACTCACCATCAAATAAAATGTAGAATCTCTTATCAACTGTTAAATAAAAAGTCTAGAAGACAGGATAAAATTAGGATGTACAGTGTTAGAAAATGAAAAGGATACGTAATTTGCCCAAAAATAGTCACTTTATACTAAGGAGGTCCCCTGCTTTCTTCAGTTTCATTGACCAAAAAACAAAAACTCAGACTTCACATGAGAAGTTCAAATCAGAAACTGACAACTATCTTGACAACAAAAATAAGTTTCAAACTATATTTTTACAAATAGTAAAAGAATAGTCAAGTAAGGATTAAAAGGAAGAGTTAATACACAAAACAGACTCAGATCTCCAGGTCTGAATTGAAGAAGAAATAAATAAATATGAGAGAGTTAGAATACTGGTCAGATGACAGAGGAGCAGAGTCAAACTGGAAATCACATGCCAACATCTGTAATGTAAAGCCAGGTTATTGCTTTGATGTAAATGAGGCCTCTATGTGTTCCTCAAGAGTTCCTGAGCTCGGAGCTTGTTCCCCAGAAAGAAAGTATGAAGAAGTAATGAGAACTTTAAGAGGCAGAGGCCTGGTTAGAAGTTCTAAGACTGGAAGCTTCCTCCCACTGACTTCGTGTCTCACCTTAGGATACCTTCCTCTCCCAAGATCCTCTGTTCTCAAACTTTTTTGTAAGTACTCAGGGTAGGCATTTCATTATAATAACAATAATAATATGGAACAAATACAAAAAACTTTTCTAATACATTTAAGATTCAGAGGTAATATACAGAGGTAATATAAAATTTTGATGAATTTTACTGGACTCAATTTTACATTGAAATTTATAAAAAACTAACCAAATCTTGAATTTTTCCCACTCAAATCAGTACAATTTTTAAAACTATGAAAATTCAGATGCCAAGTATCCTGTTTTTCTCATATTAACTAGGAGGAATAGACTAGTAACAGGAAAGAAAAGGAACTGAATTTCTTCTAATCTAGGAATTTCTACCTGGAAGGGACTTTGGAAGTTTACCAATTAATTATGTTCCTTGTCTCTAAAAAGAGCAGAAACTATACAAAAGAGATGGCTCCTACCTACACATGCTGACTTTCAGAACTTTAAATCATAATATGTGAATGTCTTCCAACAAAAAAGGAATACAGGCTTATAATTGAAAAAAAGACTGCAAAAAGCATTCTGGAAAAGGCAGTCAAGAAGAATTCAGCAGATATCATTACATTGGTGTGGTTGATATATTCTAGCAGTAAATGATAGTACCCCATGCAATGCAGTCAATCTGTGCTTCAGATACCTTCTAGCTTTTGTAAATTAAGAAATAATAATACTCTTAAGGTCGTTTGAGGATCTGTTCCTCAGGGGTCCCATGGGCTTGGGAGGAGCCCCTGGCTCCTTTCTTTTACCAGTTCTGCCTATGTGAAGATAAGTCAAAGGTCCTGCTCAACCATGGTTGGCTTTGCTTGGAAGTGTGTAGGAAATGATTCCTCTGTTTTGACCCTCCTCTTTATAAACTGGTTCAAGGTTCAAGTCCATCTGGTGGGGTCTCCT